GGGACAGTGAACTGGCCCCCTGTTTAAAAAGTTTGTGGACCCCTGATTCTAACCCGATCTGATTTTCTTTTTTTTTTTTTTTTTGGTTCAGCAAACTTTTAATGATCTCTTAATATAATAAACAAAAAATGATCGAGGGAATCCAAGTCAGCTAAAAGAGACTCTTCTCTTAAAAATTAGTAGCAAAAATAAATATTAATAAAATAGTTATTAGAACGATCTGATTTTCTTATGGGGAAGAATGCATTCAACAAATATAGAACCTTTTTGTTTGCTTGTTTTTAATTTTTATTTATTGGGCAAAGGTTTACAGAGCAGATCAGCAGTTTTACATTCAACAATCTCATTCAGTGAAATCCCCTCAAACCACACACACCATTCATTCCACTAGTGTTTCCTGTTCCCCTTCCTCCTGCTCTTTCTGACCTTGGTCCCTCAACTTTTGGACTGGATGGCTGATTATTCTCAGGTGTGTTAGGTAACCTCCCTGGAGTGATTGTTCCCCATAGAGAGCTATGTGACTGGACAAAGAGCCATTGTGGGTGAGTTACGTTCCAGACTTGAGGGAGGGATGAAGGGCCACAGCAAGGAGCTCTGATAGAATAGTGGATTGTGTGTTGGGCTGCTAACCACAAAGTCAGAAGTTCCAGCCCACCAGCCACTCCTCAGAAGATGAGGCTTTGCTCCCATGAAGAATTACAGCCTTGAAAACCCACAGGGGCTGTTCTATGAGTCAGAACCAACTCGAAGGCAGTGTGTGGATGCAGGGCTAGAGTCTTGAGTTTCAGCAGTCTCTGTCTGACCCACTGGTCTTTTATGATTTGGGGTTTTGGTCCATATTTTTTCTCCCACTCTATCCAAAGCTGTCTAGTGTGATCTTTTCCAGAGCAGTGGGTCGTGGTAGCCAGGCACCATATAGTTCTTCTGGTTTGGGTCATGGAGACTGACTGATATAGAATGGACTCATTGTTTATGTGTCTTTGATTTTCATTACTCTTCTTCTCTCCAAACAGGAGGAGCCGAATAGTTGCACCTTAGATAGCTGCTCATGAGCTTTGAAGACCTGTCACTACTCACCAGAGTCAGATGTAGAGTATTGTCTTTTGGGGACTCTGTTACGTCAGTTGACCTTGGTGTTCCCTGAGACTACGCTGTGAATTGCCAGGCCTAGCAACGCATCCCCTCAGAGTGCTTGACAGAGATTGGGTTATACATGAAAATATAAAATTTCATAACTTTGACCCCTGAGTGGTCCACCATGTGCATGGACATATTTGCAGCAATGATAAATACTCATGTAAAAATATCCTCCATCAAACAGATATTTGTGGGTCTTCTCGCACTCTCTTTTCTCACTCAGATGTGCTGGCGCTGTGTGTCTAAGCAGCTACGCTCGCCTTCAGGACGGGTGTGTCTACACGGGGACTTACCTCTGTTGCCTTTTACTCGGTCACTCCTCCCACAGCCTCCTGCCTCTGTGTGTTTCTCCCCTCTTAGTATATATTGCTTCCCCTTCACCTCAGCTAGCAGCGGTCTGCCCTTTAGGGGCCTACCATCCCCTCTCTCACTCCTGACAACCACCAAAGAATCTTTCTTTGGCTGTGAGAGCCTTTACTTGACTTTTACAATAGGGGTATACAACATCAGTCCTTTTTGATTAAGTTCATCAGTGTAACATCCTCCAAGTTCATTTGTGTTATGAGATGTTTCACCCATTCAACACTGTTCTTTATCATCCTGTGGCGTAGTATCCCACGAGCTGATGTACCATTCTTTTATAGACAGGCATTTAGGTTGTTTCCATATGTTTGCTATTGCGAACAGTGCCGCAATGAAATGAGTGAGTATTCATGTCCTGCCTCTTGCTGCTATAGGATATATACCAAGTAGAGGGATTGCTGGGTCCTGTGGTATTATTTTACTTCCAACTTTCTAAAGGAAGCATCATAGCATTTTCCACAGTGGTAACACCATTTTACAGGCTCACAAGCAGTGTGTGTAACCACTATGCCGTCGTCATCCAGCATCGTATTAATGGTACTGACTACTCTGGAGGCTGAAATGAAAGATATTTATCCCAATTGCTTTCATTTTGCTACATATTTCTACCTACTTTACCAAATTCCTTTTGCTCTCCAGCAGTTAATGCGGCAGAGATGTGAAGGACGTCTCTTTGCCCTAAGGGTGATTAGGGGGATTTGGCCTGTCTCCCATCACTTCCTCAGCCCCACCCTGGGCGGAGGCGCTAGCAGGAATTAGGAGCGGTGAAGGATACACACATTTTAGTTAATGTTTGGCCTCTCTCACGGAGGGCCATTTTTACCCTGAATGAGACACAGAGAAAAAGAAGTGAAATTTAAATTATGGACAAATCCAAGGAATGACTGAATGCGAAACCCCCCCAAACTCACTGGCATTGAGTAGATTCTGACTCACAGCAACCCTCTGGACAGGGTAGAACCGCCCCTGTGGGTCTCGGAGAGGGCGCCTCTACAGGAGCAGAAAGCCTCCTCTTTCTCCTGGTGGGTTCAGAGTGCTGACCCTTTGGATGAGACCAACGCATAGCCCATGACACCACCAGGGGTCCAAGAACTAAGGGAAAGATGCTCGACCAGTCCCTGGTCTCCATTTCTGGTTGTTGCTCTCTGGTAACTGGAGTCCCGTTTCCCCCAGAATTTGAATGAACGTTCTTGTCCAACAAGATTTCCTCTATTTTACATATCCTTCTTCTGGGAATGAATGGCTTCCTAGCATAAAATGAAGGAGGAAGAGGAAGGGGGATAAAGGTTTAAAATGTTTTCGAGCCCAGTAGTCAAACACGAAAGAAGCTGGGTATAGCATAAGGCGTGACAGTCCAAGCCAAGGCTCTCGGCTCCTTTGGGCCTGGTCCCATCCAGAGAGGAGTATGCCAGTACTCATCGTTAAGCATCCTTAAAGCCAGCTTGTATTGAGGGAGACCACTCATCCCACGTGGTCCTTCAGAAGATGCCCAGGAAAGCATTGCACTAGCTGGAGGGTCTTCAGGCCATCTCTGGCCTCTCAGAGCCCCAGGCCAGGAGGAGCTGGGTTGAGCTCATGATGTCTGATCAGATCTGGGCCGGGGCTCAGGTCTTGAAGATCAAAAAGCCCCCAAATGTAGAACTGGGTGGGTTTCTTTTGGTTACCAATCCCTGGGTTACCTCAAACCACACCCTCTCACCCTTTTGCAGCTCAGCCACAGCAAAGGTTACTGCAGTACTTCCACCCGTCTGCTCCCCAGCTGTATAGACTGGGGTCCGATGGTGACCTCCAATCACCAGCTGCCCACTGCCGGGCCCTGGACCAAAGTCAATGCTCACTGCAAACAGGTAGACCCCACGCTCAGGGGCTCGGAAGTACCCATGTTCCGGGAAGTAGTTGCTGCCAATGTTGACGTAAGTGGTGTTGAACTTCATAGTCTGAAGAGCAGTTGTCCCTTCTGAACAGCCCGCATAGAAGGCCACAGGGGAGCCTGAAATACAGGAGGAAAGTGCTCAGGGATGCGGCCCTCTCCCCTGGGGTAGGACGTGAAGCTCTGAGGCTAACCTTCCCCACTTTGTCAGCATTAGAAATACCAGGCAGGCCACTCACCAGAAGTTGGTGCCTGGCTGAATGTTAATACTTAATGCTTAGATCAAAGATTCTATATAGATAAATCCTGATCTAAAGGAGGGAGTGCAAACAAGAATGTCCTGGCGCCATGACGGCTGAGTAAACACCTGAACTATTGCCCTGAGATCATCTTTACACCTTAGAGTAAAAATGTCCCCTGAAACCTTTAAACCAAACAGCCGTTGATTTTCATTAGTGAAGAACATCTGGCTTGCACATTGCGTTCTTAAATTTGATTGGTAAGGGGTCCATCTGACCATAGCGACTAGAAGCTCGGGGATGTGAGTGTATGTTAGTGGAGGAGGGATAACTGAAAAGACGGGAGAGAAGGTCGCACACTTGAATAATGGAATTAATGTCACTGAATTGTACATGTAGACATTGTTGAATTGGCCTAAGTTTTGTGGCGCATATCTTCAACAATAGTGAAAAAGCAGAGGTTTCTGACTGGTAACAGCCAAGGGCATCAGAGCTGGCTGACTGACTGAAACTCTCCTGTTTAGACTGGGGTGCATTTTGACAAAGCCTTTTCTCATGTGATCCCTTTTCCTTCCAACACCCTTGAGAGCCAAATAGCCCTGCTTTTACAGGAGAAAACAAAGCCACGTGGCTGGTCGGGCACGCGGGGGCAGGACCCGGGTCTCTAGACAGCCAACCTGTTCGGAATCTTCAGGAGCCCCAACCTCGAGTGAGCTACAAGGGTAATTGAAAAAGTGCTGCTACAAACGCATAGAAACCTTTACTAAACAGGGCCGACATGGAAAGTGCCTGGGTCTTGACATCCATCACTCCATCCATTTCTGAAGGCACTATTTCTCCCTTCCCCAAAGAAGCCCAGGTTATTCCATTCGCACCACGTCAAAATGGCCGTTTCGGGACCCTCAAAGGAACCAAACGTGAGCCTTTGAAATGGTTTTCAAGTGAGGGGAACCAAAAGAT